AACAGCCTGCTTCACCCTGCCACACTGCAGGGCCAGCCCTGTGTGATCATAACGAAAGGAAACACATCAAATAAAGAAGCATATACCCTGCACTGGAGCAACTTCTAGATATTCTGGGACAAATGCAGCAGAGAAACAGCCAGAGGGAAAGCATTTGAAAGATGCTAGAATGATTTACTCACCAGTCCTGGGAGCTGGCACAGTTCTGCGTGACCAAAGCTTCTTGTGGCAAGGCAGAGAATTCCAAAAGCGTCTCAGAGGGGGGGGAAAGAACTCAAGACAGAGAGAGGCCGGACTCAGTTTCAGCAAATTGAGCACTTCCACGCAACCCAAGATAATAATAATAATAAAAATTAAGAATCAACTCAAATGCGACTGAAACGTGTAATTATGCAAAACTGCTTTAAATGGGCATTTGTTCAAAAGCGGTGGGCTTTAAAAGATTAATAAAATTAAACACTCTGCAGCAGCGTTTCAGTTCCCAACCCAAATGGGTCTCTGGAGTGCCTCTGGGAGCTCATGGCAATGGATGGGCAAACTCTCGCTGATTGAAATGAGGCTGGTTAGGAAGGGCAAGGCTTTTGTGTGGCTCATGTGCTTGCTTTAGAAACCCTCTGCCAAAGTCAAGCACAAAACCCACATTTTGATAATACCATTTAAGAAAAAGAACTATAGTTTGCTGGTGCCAATCTTTCTGATTTCTACTACTGCTTGCATTCCAAATGCATTAACTTCCAGCATTTTGGGGTTTTTTCTTTTGCTAACCTTACTATTGTATGAAATGATCGTGCACAGGGGAGGTACATGGATGGGCTCAAACCAGAACATGCAGCTCCCATTCAGACCCTGATCTCCTTCTGGATATAAATTTCAACAAGAACAATCTCTGTCACGTTGCTCATGTCATGGTTTTAAGAATATTTGGAGCATTTTACAAGTATGTTATTTAGATGTATATTTCTGAAAGACTGAAAAGGAAACATAAGTTGTGAAATAGGCACTCTTGCTGGAAGTAAAAAAAAAATGGAGACACAAGCTAGGCACAATCACTTAAAATTAATTAAACCTAAAGATTCAATCCTGGGCCTACTTACCTGGGAGAAAGTCACAGTGGATACAGTGGAACTTATTTCTGAGTGTACATCCAAACAGTGGGACTTATTTACAAGTAAAATGGAACTTTGTGTAAATGGGTTTTTTAAAAGTATTTTGTAAACCACCTAGAAGCCTATCCTGGCAGGAAGTCATATATGCATTAATAATGATGGGAGTATTTAGTTTTGTGCCACAATTCTATAAGTGCTTACCTGGGAGTAAGAGTCTCTGATTTTGATAGGGCTTACTTCTGACATATATAGGATTGCACTGTAAATTTCCTTAATTCCATTGAGACACAGAGCCCAAGTCTATACAGGTTGACTCGGAAGTAAATCCAACTGAGTTGAATGGGACTTAGTCATACTTAAGGGTACACAGGATTGTACGCTTAATTATCGCTAGCTTTTTTCTGGGTTTTACCCTGTTTGTTTTTGTCCAATTTAAAACATCTATCTTTCCTACTCCCCACTCCCCCCCCCCCCAGCTTTTAAAGTATATTTATACACATACAAGAACAACCCATTAATTACAAGCAGCCTGAATCTGTAACTCCCCCCATCCCCACCCCTGCTGGTGAATAATCCCACTTCCTTTCCTGAAACCTCTCACCTGAGTAAGCCTGCCAGAGTCAAACACTGGAGAAAAGCCCTTTAAAGCACTCCATATCTTGACCAAATGTGCAGACGCTAAAGATAAGAATGAGCTTTTCTATAATGGTCTTGCTTGACTTTAATGTTAGGATGTTCCGCTGATGGGAAGAAAGGGGTTGGCCTTGCATTCTTTAATACTGTTTACAAACAGCAAAGTGTCTCTCTCTTTCTCAATTCCTCCCACCCCAACCCAGCTAAAATCTCTTACCAATTTTAAAACCAGATGGGACTATTCTTATGAGACTCTAATCTGATCTTTTCTTTCTAAATAAAAAAATAATAATACTTTCATTTCTTTCATTAACGATTAAATACACACATTTACATTGTGTTGACTGCAGTATAGATGTTGTGTTTAATGATGAAAATAAACACAATATAAATATACTGGGTGATTATTCATAGTTAGTCACACTCAGAGTTGACTCACTGGCATGAATGGACACTCAAGTTCACTGATTTTAAATAAGTCAGGATATGCATAACACCGGATATCACCCAATGTATATGCGTATAAAATGCTTGTGCAAATATAAAAACACAATCCCATTGTATATGTATATAATACTGTACTGTACTATATATTTGAATACTAATCTTACATTTACAATATAAATGCACGATGCATATTAATCAAGTCTATTATCAACAAAATGAATGTTATGAAGAGGGGTGCTTATACCATACATATTTCTATATTGTGAATGAGTATTGGTAAAGGTGAATCAGTTTCATAAACAGCATTTGAATGAATGCAACTGATTCAACTTCAGCAGTGCTCATTCTCTCTAGAGGGGGGAATGTGTGTTTGTGTGGGTTAGTTTCCCCTAGGGTGGAAATGGTCTCATCTTTACCTACTTCAGCCCATGATTTTTATTTTTTTTAAGTGGGAACTTCATTGTATATTCTGGAAAAGTATATTGGTTGGGAAGCTTTAACAGAGCTAAGGAGTATGTGCAAGGAGTGAGAAACTAAATTGATGGATGGATGGTTAAATGAATATAAATGAACTGATACCTTTACAGGAAAATAACATTTCTTTTCTTTTTTTATTCTATAGATCAGTGGGTTTTGTATCTGTAATTCTTTCATATCAGCAAAGAGGAAATAAACTCCCATGTAAATCATTTCCCCCCACCTGGAAGCATATTAAAACCGTGCCATTTTTTTTTCTTTTAAGCAGTGGCCCCCTCCCCCACCATTTGCTTATCAGTTCATCCACCATTACATTTTAAATGAAATTGCAAGGAACCCCCCTCCCTTTCCCTCCCCTAAATTCTAGGCTGATGTAGGAAAGTCAGAAGCATACTTTTCTTGCTTTAGAATACTGACCTAGATTCAATTACAGATAGACCAGGAAGGGAGGGTGACACCTTACCGTTCCTCTTTTAAAAATTAGAGGGGGGGGGGGAGAAGGGAAATGCCTCTTCCGCCTATACCACATACGACAATTCCCCACCCTGCAAAACGCACCCCAAATGGAGAAGCAATCTGTTTATTTCGTGACAGGGGCTTGGTCCAAACCGGGGTGAAACACACCGCGGTGTTCCTATGCGGGAATCCTGGGGAAGGAGCGATTCTATCATCCTATCGTGCGCTTCGCTCTCCGACTCTCGCGGTGGGTCCTGCCGGAGCGTCGTGGGGAGGAAGAGGCAAGCGGTGCCTACAAGAAAAGAGCCACACTGGCTTGACAGCTACCGCCAAACAAATATCAGCCTCATTACACTAAAAAAAAACCCCTCTTTTTTTGAGCAGCCAGAAGGACGCTTTGAAGCCCAGGATTTGGAAACTGCTTTTCCTCTCACTGTCTCCCCACCCGCGCTCCGCCCGAGCCTCGCTTCCTCTGAAATACTTACAAGGAGGGGACAACGCTGTGATCCTTGCTTATTGACTTTTATCACTAAATTAGGCATATAAATGACCTGAAAGCGGTGGCTGCCGTATTAAATTAAAAGGGGAGGGGGGGAATAAAGAACAATTACCCCCCTCTCTCTTCTTTTTTTCTTTTTCACCCCCTCCCCTCCCCACCCCCTCCATCCTCCCTGCTCTGATCTCAGCCTGAAAGGAGGCCTGGGCGAGATAAGGAGAGATTGGATTCCTCTTCCAGAGCAGCTCTGCTGCTTAAATAAAATAGACCAGAGAGAGAGAGGGAGAGGTTTTGCATCTCCGGTCCATCCGGATGAGATACAGCGGCGCGGGGGGCGGGGCGGATCTGAATGAAATGTCTGGCGGTTTGTTAGAACGCTTTTTAAACTTCTTTTAAAAATTAATAAAAATAAAAGCAATGAAGTGGGGGGAAGCATTTTGGGCGGTGAAGCCAAGGCTTCTCCCGTCGAAATATATCCGCCTTTTTGCACGTTTTTTAAAGAAGCGCATCTCCGTTTGAAGGCACACAAATGATCCAGAGCTTCTCAGCATCAGGAGCCGCTCCAGGCATCCGGGACTTCCTCTTCCACCTTCTCTCCATGGCCAAAGAGAGGTGATGGGAGTCTGTCTGCCATGGGGTACCCCCTGGCTGCTAAGCAAGGTAGGATTGCTGGAAGGGGGATTGAGAGAGAGAGAGAGAGGCAGGCTTGGTTATTTCAAAGAGCCAGAGATCTGGCCAGCTTTAGGAAGCGATGTTCAGGGGCGCGGGAATTGGGGGTGAGAGAGAATATAATCTTAATATTCAGCTCAATGGAGTATCCTTATAATTTATAGCCACCAAGATAAGGCTGGAGGATATAATAATAATAATAAATCGGAAGACGTCTCTTCTCTTTCTCCTCCGCTCTCCCCCTCCCCACCAGCCCCACAACCCCACTCCCAACCCTCGGTATTGAATTGCACCTTGGGCAACAGTGCAGAGTCCAGAATCTTAACTTCGCTCAACATATGTTTCCAGCAGATAAGTAAACAATCTGGACGTGAAATGAAAATTTTAATTAATGCAGTAATGCTATTACACCTCAAGTGTGCAAATCCCATTGCATTGCAGTGTGACAATGAGCTGGGCGGGGGGGAGGGGGCGGACCACAAAGCCCAGACAAGGGAGCGCACGCGAGCCCCATCCGGAGATGAGCGCTCGACGCTTTTGCGCCGGAGTGCCAGTTGGGTGCAGACGACGACGCTGGAATCCGGCGTGCACGTTCGCTCCTCTTTCCCTCTCCTTGGCGCCGCCTGATCCCTTTCTTTCTCTCTCTCTCTCTCTCTCTCTCCTTCCACGCCCGTTGAGGAGCTTCCCTTTCCGTGCGCGGGTTTAAAATTTGGCAACAGCAGCAGTCTTTCATTCCCGGCCCCTTTTAGTCCCTCAAACTTTTTGGAATGTGATCTTCCCCTCCTCGGAACTTGCACGTTATTTCTTGCTTAGCTGGTTCAAAGGAGGCGTGCTCGGCCCTAATGAAGTATATTGGGTGATTTGTCCTAATAAAAAAAAATTAAGAAAAATAATAAGAAGAAAGCAGGATTGGCTCTTGCCTTTGATGTGCTTATAAAACAGACCGAACCGAAGCCGAGGCGTGTGAAAGAAGAAAGAGAGGAAGATGCTATTAAAACACAAACGTTTTAAAAGGCAGATGAAGACCTAGCAGGAGAAACCGTAAACTCCAGAGAGATCAAACGCCTCTGCAGCTTGCGTGGCGACCGCATCGCTCCCGAATTGAAAAGCAAACGACTGGCCGGCAAGGCTTAACCGATTCCCACGGGATCTGCGGAGAAAGGCCTCCACCCACCCACCCCAGGGCTCCAGTCTGAGAATCTCCTCCATCCCGGCTACGGGGTCGCCTCTGCGTCCCTTTTCCTCATTTTCGCCCCCAGCCCCTTCGAAGACTGGAAGCCGTGCCACTAAAACTTTGCTTCTCCATTCTCCACCCGCTTCTCAACCCATCTGTCTCCCTTGCTGTTATTTTTCTCCTCCTCAACCATCTCCTCCGTCCCGACAATCTCCCCTCTCGAGTGGTAGGAAGGCCACGAGTCTGGCCTTCTTGAAACCGACGGCCAGGGACTTAAACCCATTTCAATCTCTTGACCTTTGCGATTAACTAGCCCACTTCCGCTGGTCTAGTCAATTTCACAAACCCAGAATTTCACACCCACACACACACCAACTTTTCCTGCATTTCTTTTTTAAGCAAATCCCAAAGGGAGCCTAACGAAGCCAGCTTGGCGCATCGCCTAGCCAAGGAAAGGCCTTGGAGGAGTTGTGGGCCAGAGTTCCTCCTTGGGCTGAAGGGCCCCTGGTGCGCCTGGGAGGTTGCGTTGCTTTGGCGCAGCTCGTCCACGTCGCCAGGCGTCGCTTTCCACCCCACACATCCTCCTCCACCCCAGCCCTCCCCACGAGACTCCTGCAGGCAGCATGCGAGCTCCCACCTAGCTCGGAGGCAGCAGCTGCCCGGGATCTGCGTCGATCGCGGTCTGCCGATGCGGCGGAGAACGTGTTCTTACCTGCGCAACTTTCCTCCGCCGCTTTGAAGCTGCTCCGCCAGATGTTCCGTACAAGATGCAGCTCGATAAGCGACGGCTCGCTGCGTCTGCCGAGCTGACAACTCCAAATCGAGAACCCCTTTCGGCAAGGAGGGGCGGCGGCCCGGGTGCATTCGTTTTGGGGTTATTTCTCGGAGTCTCGTTTCCAGAAGAGTCTCCATCTTCTTCTTCCTCCTCCCCCCACCTTTTTTTGTGTTCTAGACATTGACGTTGCTTAAAAAATACTTTCATGGGCTAGAGAATGAAGATGATGTTACTGATTTCCCGGTTCCCTTTTTTAAGAAAAACAACAACAAGCAAAAACCCAGTACAATGAAGGAAATTTAGCCAGAAGGAGACGGACGGAGGGGGGCAGGGATTAAAAAATATATTTTAAAAACCGCACTGTCAAATCACAACCTGGGATCTGTTTGATCTCCCAGAGCCCCTTTGAATGGCTTTGATAGTCCTCGGCGGCGAATTTCCGCCCTTATTATCACCAATCAGCAGAAATCAGTAATAGCTCTCCGAGACTTCTTAATGTGTCCTTTCAAAGGAAAGTTTCCAGCACGTCCGTGGCCTCGCTCGTTTAATCCCCTCCGCAGCAAAGTTGGCCAAGAATCCAGCGTTTCCATCTGCAACTAAATGAGGGGGCGCTTCTTTTGCGCGCGCGCACCCCCCACTTTCCCCCTGGCTGGAGTTTGAGAGGGATGGCCTTTGGAGAGGATTAGGAAAAAGTATAAATAGTGGGAGTCAGTGAAGTTTACAGCTAGCTAGGAATAGCTTCTTTCCTTCCTGAAAGGAGGGAAATGGATTAAGAACTTCCAGCCCCGCCCGCCTTCAAAGGGGAGTTTATTTGAAATCAATGATTTGTGGACGAAGAAGACCAGATCCTCAGTCCACTTCATCAAGGTTGCTTGAATATATAGCGCGATCTTATAACACCGCAATCTATAATCGTTGAGACCTAGAGAGGATTTTGCTGCCGGTTAGAATGGGCTGCGCATTGGACCCTGGCGGTGTAACCCTAAACGTGTTTACTAGGGAGTAAATCCCGCTGCGTTCAAGCAGATCTGCTCCCAGGTTCGCGTCCATTGGCAGCCTATTTCCGCTCAGCCAGATTGCTCTCAAGCAAACAGGTTTGAGGATCGGGTGCCACTCCCCCTGCTGTCAATAGGGCTGGCCTTTCACTCCTCAACTCTCTTACTGGGAAGGAAGGGCCCGTTGGTTTCAGCGGGACTGCCTTCCAAAGAATCACACTGAGATTTCTTTTGGAAGACAGGGGAGGGTGTACCAATCGTGTCCACTTGTTGAGCGACTGCATTGTTCCCAAACCCCAGAGTTGAGTAGCGGTTCAAAACTCCAGCACCAACGAGGTGTGCGCACGTTCGCCCAGCAGAATCCTAGGCCGATCATTAAAAATGAAATAAAATCTCTCCGCCTGATTCCCCAATCTCCCTCCTCTCCAGCTGTGTGGGTCCATATCCATCATCTCTCCAGCTGACCAGTAGGGGCTGGGCACGCTGAGCACCCCAGACAACCCAAACTCAGAGAGGGGGGGGACTGAGGGCTAAATGGGATCCTCTTGCCTTCCCCTGCTCTTTGGGAAGCGCACGGAAGGCGTGGTGTCTCTTAACCCCCGCAGCCTTTTGTTTAATGATTTTATTGAAAGAAGGAGACAGTTGTGGCGAAACAGGTTTGACAAGGAGTTCGTTCTCTCCCTTTAGGGAATAGTTCTCGCGCGCTCTCTCGCCTTCTTTTGCAATTCTTTTGACATCAAAGTCGGTAATCGGTTCATTTCGGTGTCATGGCGATTATTTAATATTTTTATCTCTGCACGCATAAAAATAGCTACACGCACCTGCAAACGAAGGAGCCGGATAGAGGTGGTAATTTGGCGGAGGAATGAGGAAATGTTGCAAGGGGCGGGGCGAGGGGGACAAGCGATGAAGTTTCAAGACAGTCCTAAAGTTTTGCCCTGTTGGCATTCGTCTGGATTTCTGTTGAGAGGAAAGTCATCACACAAACTTCCGCGAGTCAATTTCTGTGGCGTCTAGAACACAAATAAGGATAACAATGCGCAAACTTTCGAATCACACAGGACTCTTCCTAGAGCAGAGTGGAAACTATCCAGCATCAACTCGGCAAAATCGTTAGATTGTAGTAAATATGGGCAGGAGCTGTATATTCCGTGGAGCTCCTGGTGCTGGGTTAACGTTAAAAATACATAATAAAATAGAAGAGGGGTGACCTGGGGTGCTGAAGTATTTAGAAGCTCTAGCTCCGTGTGGACATGACATCCTCACATCTATCGTTGAAATCAAAACAGAATTTCGCAAAATGAATATGTTTAAATGGCGAGTTTGAGCAGTGGAATATGTAACCTTGCTCAATCGGCACCCTTTTCCATTCCCCTTGACGAAGAGTCCTGTGTGACCCAAAAGTTCCAGGAGAAAGATCCTGCGAAAAGAAAAATCGGGCCCTCCCCTCTCCTGCTTTGCATTCCCTTGAGGCGACGCGGCAACAACTAGGTAAATCTCAGCTTCACATATCGACTACACGATGACCACAGTAACGACAGCATTTTACAAAGCTAACCAACCTATTTATTTGAGAGGCCGCGTTGGTGGTGATGGTGCAATATAACCTATTTATTTATTTATTTATTTTCTAGAGAAGCACAATTCCACACACACGCAACTCCATTTTGCCAAACAGCCAAGTTGCCCCTGGGACCATCACCTCCTAATGTCCTCTCCATCTCTCACTTTCAAATCAACGCTGTAACCAAACGGAGGAGTCCAGCCAGCCCGTTGCGTTAGCGCCCAGGAAGGGAACCCAGGAGACCAAGTCTCCAGCGCACACACACCCCCCCGCGCGCGCCCAGGCCTTTCTCCGTGGGGCTTCTGGCGCTCCTGTCCCAGCCCTCCGGACTCTCTTCCCCAAATCTCCAGAGGAGGAGACAGCTGACGGCAGCCCTCCCGCCTGTACCTGTGAGGGCAGCGTTAAGACTAATCTAGCTAGATGTTAAAGGACGCTGAGCTATGAGCGTTATCACAGGGCCTGACAGCAACTGTCAACTGGGGTTAAATCAGCCCGGGCGCGCAGCTCCTCCGCCTCCGCTGTGGGGTCCATTCATTGCGGCTTGCCTCGGAGTGTCCCCTCGCAACTGTGCCTCTGATTGTCGCCTCCGAGTCAAGCCAGGTCTTAATTGTGCCCATTTGTAAGTGGGCTCTCTCTCTCTCTCTCTTTTTGTCATGCTAAACAAGCGTGGTTCAGCCATTCTAACCTCGCCTTTCAAAGCTTTTCTCCTCGGCTCTTTTGTTTACCTTCGCCTGATCTCTCATTTATTTATCTATCTATTCTTCCTCTGCTTACCCTGCCATTCAGGTCCCGTGTATGTTAATTGTGTTATGCCATTTAATTCTAACAGCGGTCTCCAAAGAGCACTTAATGAGAAAAACATCTACAACATGGATCACGTTGGCTATTCAGCTTAGCCAGATGGACAACTGCTACTTCTTCTCTCTCTCTCGCCCTCCCCACCTCACGCCCCCCCCCATCTTTTCTTTCTATCCTCCCCTCCTTCCCCCTTTAATGAAAAATCCTTTCCTGGACAAAAGGAGAGACCTGATGAATAGGGGCGCCAAACACTGTTAATTGTTTGGGACAAGATGCTAATCTGCCCTGCTCCAGCCTCCCTTCCGAGATGTTTCTTCCTCTTTCCAGGCCTGCGCCCTCTGATTTGGGATATTGGGGAGGGGGAGTGAAATGTGGAAACGTGGGCAAGGAAGGTGGTGGAAATTGGGAGTGGGGGGCGCTTTTGAGGCACTCCTGGACCCCCACTCAGCAGAGGGACCAAGAGGGACCCGAGGGCAAGAGAGCTGTCTCGCCACATTTGGAAAGAAGTGAAGTCCTACATTTTGCCATCGAAAGAGCGGAGGTCATCAAATCATCAGGTCTGGAGTCTACATTAAATGATCCTGGGACCTGGGAAACGAGGGCGAAGTGGGCGGTGATTGCAATACGTGCAGAGGGACGAGGAAACGGAATTTCTAGAGGTCGAGAAGCCCCACAAACTGCCGTTAGTTCAGCCGGAAGGGATTCTGCACATTCTCAGAAGCGCTCTTCTCTTCCTACATTTTACTGGGCAGGGAGACGGGGCTAAGGTGAATTCCTTCGGGCTATCCCAGCCCTTCGGAGCTTTTTTGTGCCGCCTCGCTTTTGGAAATCTAGAGCTCCGCCAAGACATAATCGCTTAGCTGCTTAAGTTTGGGGTCATTATTTGGGTACCTCCAACTGTACCGGAAACATTTCGAGAACTTGATCAGTTCTTTTCAGCCCTGAAGCAAAATATGGACCAGTCCGTCTAACTGAGTTTCACTGTTCCTTTTCCTTCCTGCACCTCCCTTTAAATCTCTTTCCTTCCTAATCCTAAACAAGGTGAGACTTATTCCTTTGCCACTCAACCAGACTGCAAATCCTATGCCTGAGAATGGTTCCCACCGAACACAACGGGACTTAACTGCTGAGTAAACGGTAAACCTGTAACCGATTACCCTGTTTTAAACCGGTTCAGTCTCTTAAAACACTGCTGCAAGGCAGGCTGTGGTTCGACGCGCACTTAATTAGGAGTAAGCCCACTGAATGCACGAGAGATCATTCGCAGTAAATATGCAAACAGAGTGTTATTAAAGACTCCCCTTAGCACAAGCATTTGCGAGCTTGCTCAAAAGTCGCCCCCACTCTGTGTTCCATGGAGCTTACACTAGGGTTGCGGCCTCAGAGAGGCCCAGAGGACAGATCGCTAGCTGGGGACCTCGCTGAGTGGCCGAGAGCCCGTCATTGTCTCTGACTCAACCTCAGTTTCCCAATCTGTAAAATAGGAAGAGTTGGTTTTGAGAGAGAGAGAGAGAGAGAGAGAGAGAGAATGTAGCACCATACACGCCCCTGGGCCTTAGAAGCAAAGGAACACAGAAATCGAAATAAATAAATGGATGGGATGGATGGGTGGGTGGGTGGGTGGGTGGATGGATGGAAAGAAAGGAGTTTGACAAGCTATGGGCACGATCTCCCTGGAAGTTCGTCCACGGCAGGAAAGATTGAGCAACTGCTTTCGCTACCCACAAAAACCCAGTTCATTTTAATAGAGCGTAAGCAGGATAATTTCCCGGAAGATTGTGCTCAGATCTTTAAAAATTTTCGAGCTTTCAGGACGATATTAGAAATTGTTTGTATCCTGACCCTACTTTCTGCAGTATTTGCAGGCCCTACCACACCGCCAAGACGCAGGTAGACTTGGCCAGCTTCCTCGCTGTCTAGAAGGTTTTGTTTTGTGTGGATCGAGACTGGATTCACAAGCACATAACTGACGTGTTCGACGACAGATTGTCTTTATTCAAAATGTCTTTGTTCAGCAAATGAACAGAATTAACGAGGTAAAATCCTTCTGGATACAATTCTTCCCCCAATACATTGTTAAAACATATTTAAATTACCACCGTGTTATTCATTTTTTAAAATTTTATTTTCCATTAAAAAAAACAATTCTACTGCCTGACTTCATATCTGACATTCTGTCTAAAAGTAAACTTAGGTCTACTTGCACTGATTCACACAAATTGAAGGACTATCTGTTTTAAATTAAGCAAACACTATCATACCATGTTTGAAATATAAACGTTTTTCACCCTTTTTTAATATCTCTGAAGAGCTTCTTTTTTAATCTTTTTGACATGAAAAGCAATTTTAGCTATTAGTGCTGGATGGTAAAATATAGATATATAGATATATATAACACAGCTAACTCTTGTTTTTTAATGTGCAAAAAAGGAAATCGTTAAGTCAGAATACTTCCGGGATTTTAGGAATTCAAGTCCGATTCACATCCGATCATATAAACTCATAGACATTGAGATAATAAATAAAAAAGAAAATCATCATCATCAAAGATGTTTTGGCCTTTCGGCCAAAAAGGGCAATTAAAAGTTTGACACATTTACAATTCTTACAAGTTTCGGGGCCCCTCGGAGCCCCAAGTGCAGAAAGAAAAATACCTTTTGTGTGTTTGTTTTTGGATTCGACTACAAAGTCTCGGAGTCTCCCCATCCCCGCCCTCCCACCCTCGGAAAAAGTCGAGTCTTAAAAGTCTTTCCCCAGGTGAAACCAGGTCTCCGGGACATCTCTCCCGCGCTCAGGTGGCTTTCGCTTAGGCTCTTAAAATATCTTTGTTTCTGAAGTCTCGTCAAATATCACATGCACCACGGAGGGGTTCCGATTCCACCGGCAAGCCAAGGCTATGGCGACGTGGGGGTTTCCAGGCCGCCTGCCCTATGTGGGGCTGTCAATGATGGGAGCTTGCCGGGGGGGGTTACATGGCTGCGGCGTGCGCTGACGAGTAGGGGTCTATTCCAGTCTTGGTCATGCCTGGGAATAATATGTAGGCCACGGGAGGCTGCAAACTGGACGCCGACCAAGCCGTACAGTTACAGGGCACCACGTAGCCGGGGTTGGTGGGCGACGGGTGGGTGTGGGTGTGCTGGCTGGGGCAACTCAAGGTGCCAAAGGCCCCGTTCTGGTATCCCAAGGTGGAGGCGTAGGGCAGGGTGCTGGTGGCCAAGGTGTGGGGCACCTCGGTCATCTTCTGGATGGCGCTGGAGCTGAACTGGCTGGGGTCAAGTAAGGAGTAGGGCGCGGAGGTGGGGGGCAGGAAAGCCCTCGCCTTCTCCGGGGAGCCGAGCAGAGAGTCCGTGGCTGCCACGGGGAGCCCGGCCGCCTTGAGGGGGTCAGTGTCTCCGAGGTAAGGCAAAGGGAAGACATACCTGTCCTTCTTGAGGAGGTTCTTGGGCTTGCGACGGGGCCGGTACTTGTAGTCGGGGTGCTCCTTCATGTGCTGGGCGCGCAGCCTCTTGGCTTCGTCGATGTAAGGGCGCTTCTCGGCTTCCGACAGCAGCTTCCACTCGGCGCCCAGGCGCTTGCTAATCTCCGAGTTGTGCATTTTAGGGTTTTCCTGGGCCATCTTCCGACGCTGGCCCCGGGACCACACCATGAAGG